CTCCTGCTGCTGCAGGTTTCTGCTCTGGCAAAATTTCGCGGTCTGTTGATCTTGACTCCTACGTTGAAGCAAGCAGAGAAGAAATGAAAGCCACCTACATTGTTCAAGATTCAGACTTGCGGGTCAGGGTTTAGGGCTTGGGGTGTGGAAAGGACAATGGAAACTGCTATGTTGATATCGTTTAGGGAATAGGGTAGGGCAGGCAAGAACGGATCCTAATAAATTCTACGTGGTATCATCATGAGGAACAGTCCAGAGATTCCATGCCTGTCTTTCCGGCCGAGTAAGTCGTGATGTGCGGTTGATAGGGTTTACGCAGCATAAGGTCGATAGAGGTCTTTGAGGCGTACAGGGTGTTTTTGGGTTTGTACAGCTTATGGCCAGACTTGCGATGTAGTAAAGTGACAGTATAGTGTCAAAATGTTGCGCAATGAGGTGGCTAAGACTTCGCATGGGCATACAAGATAATGGCTGAATGTCATCCTGGATTCGTCAAAGCAATAGACGCTGCACCATCAGAACATGCTAGTTCATCAAAGTGCCATTCTCTCTTTCAGCAACCCGGTCCTGGAGGTTACATCAGAACAACCCGCCTGCAGATCACGCTTCACATAAGGGCTTCTCAAAAACCTGCATACTGTTGATATTACAAATCCTGCATAACCTTACTCTGTACATATATATATATATATGTCTGTGTGTATAATTCCTGAGGTGCAAGGTACTTAGGACCATGCAATCCACCGTAGGAGCGCACGGCTGCCAGAAACTTCTTGACCCATTGCCTCCTGTGATTTGACCCTCGGGCTCAAGCTGCCGGAATGGACCAATGTAGTTAGCGCCTATTGGCCAGACCAGGGGCCGGATGATGGGCGCTTTGAAGACAGCAGCAGTGTTGCTCTCAGCCCTCTGCCAGGACTTGACCGTGGACGCTCTCAAGGCATCGTGGGTTGGTTTCAGCAAAGCATCTTTTACGGAGGGTCAGCTAGAAACCTGCGCATACTTCGTCTGCGTGGGGTTTGGGGGTACGTATGTTCTACTTTAAACATAAAGAAGGGAGAGAAGTCAGGAGTCATAAGGAAATACGAATCAGACTTTCCATTAAATGCTGAACCCTGAGCCGTCAACTGCCTGCCTGCTTGCTTTTGCCTTAGGTACACGATTTCTCCAGCGAGATACAGAGGACACCACCATGTCAGTGCCACAGCAGCGATGCGTCCTGGGTGGCGCCGAAGTCCGATCGAGAGGCGAGATGCGTGTTCATCGATCTGGGTGCAGCCAATGGAAATAGCTTTGAACGCTTCTTGCAGCTGGTCTGAAGCTGGCAGATGACTTTTTTTGCTTCGGGGCCTGGTCACATTGCACCCTACCACCCAATTTTTCCCTGTGCATCAAACATCTTCACTCATATCGAGGCAGGGCGACTACACTCCTGTGGCCTCTTGCCCAAATGGAGGAAAGTGGGAGGCTCTGTTGGTGGAGGCCAATCCCCGTGACTGGATCGCAGTATGACATCCTATCATTCTCCTTCTTTTTAAAGATAGCCTGCTTGTGTGACTTCTCTTGGCGACCTGCCCAACTGCCCCCTGAACTCTCAACCATCCCCAAGCCCGCCAAAACCTATGCCCAAGACGCCATGTCACGCAGGTTTCGACTCAGCCTTGCACCAGGTTGAGGCCGAGCACCCGACCCAGGTCAAAGCCATGCCTTCCTCAGCAGCCTACATGTGCGATGCGCAAACCAGCGACCTGGCATGTCCTGGCGTTGGGGTTAGGTTTTGGGTTTCAGGGTTTACGAATAGGGTGTAGAGCTTCGGGTTGACTTGAAACTCCTGGTTTTGATCGTGCATGGGCTGGGGGTTTGAGTGAGCGTGTTTCGGGTGTAGGCTACCTTGTGAAGTGCGGTGCGGGTCTGTTCTAAGAGCGCAAACTAGTGGTAGGATTGTTCAATGATCGGCTGTCTCCACCATCCTTGCAAAACCCTATGCCAAGCAATCCACCCCCAAGCTCTAAGACGTGAGGTTTCTATCTGGACAATGTGAACACCGAGCACAACTACTGGGGATCCAGCCTTTCCCCTTCGCATCAGGACGTGGTGAAGAGCGGTAAAGTGAAGGTCACGGTGCCCACCAGGCACTCCCAGTGGCAAAAAAAGCGGGTTGAGGGGGGAGTTTCGGGCTTCAGGGAATCAGGGTTGTAGTGGGTTGTTGGGTTTAGGGGAGAGTGACCTGGGAGAAGTGTTTGGGGCTTCGGATTGTGAATTCCAGGGTTCCTCCAAAGAGAACCGCGACAATCTCGGAACCCTGAAATCTGTGAGTTTTATTCAGGTCGCTGAGGGGTTTGAAGTGTTTTAGGCCCACTAGGGCAGGTTTAGCGAAGATGGGTCTAGAAAGGATTGAGGGTGACATGGGTGGATTCCCTTTCCTACTCAGGAACCTTCTCCGGATCCTCCATGAGCAGACAACACCTAAGGCCCACTCGGCTGCACGTAGCGATTATAGTGTCGAACCATAAACGCTAAACTACCATGAAGCCGAACAACCACACCGCTCCCGCGCACCGCGCCAAGGACCTCGTGATTGTTAAGATGGACATCGAGGGAGCAGAGTTTGATATCATCCCTTGCCTTGCTAATTCTCCACAGGCACATCTTGTTGACAAGCTTTTCATGGAAGTGCACAACCCCTCTTGGGGTCTGGTCGGTACCAGCGAGCAAGACTTCCAGCAGGCGCAGGCCGTCCTTCGCAGGCAGGGAGTCGCCATTCCTGCCTACAACTCACCCACGCTGGTCCAAACGTTCTCCGAAACTGCTCGCATGGGAGGCCATTGGGGCATGGGAGGCCATTGGGGCCAAAAACAGCATCATGTTTCCGCACTGTGGCAAGTCTGGATACTCCAGCGGCCAAGAGGCCTTTGATGCTTACGAGGGCACAGCCCATCCGCAGCGTTTGGATGTTGAGCACATTTAATCTAAACCCTAAACTCCCCCAAACCCAACAGAACCCCTGCATAATTCCTGTAACCCCTTGAAAGGAGCCCGTCCTACTATTCAACAGCCTTACCGGGTTCGAAGTAGCAGTTCCAATTGGTAAAAGCCTCACATTTTTTGGCCTTTCCTTCTGTGTGCACGGCACTTGAACCTGAAGGCAGTTGAAAGGCGGGGAATTTAATAGATAGTGTACTGAGTGGGTCAACAGGAGGATTCTGTGTGTTGGCTTCTGAATGTTTGGCAGGAGTGTGCAAGAAAACATGTTGGAGTATAGCATCCCTGGAGACTGTGTCTGAAGATCTGCAATCATTCAGTCATAGCAAGCAGGCGTTAACCAAAAGTGCAACCGAACTCCTCGTCTGCCATGCCACCTGAAAGCCAGTTTTCCCTGAGATGCCACAAAAAAAAGGGCAAGGGTGGGCTGACAAGGTGGCAATGCATCCGTCAGCACGATCAATCAGATCATAGTGCTGACCTTCGCCGAACGCACGCGAGCCTACAAGTACGAGCAAGTCTTTCCCGGTATCCGCGTCACTTGGATGGTTGGGTTGACAGCTGCAGACTTTGCAAACGAGCAGGACATGATGGACAGGGAGCAACTGGTTCCCATGACAGAGCAGATGAAGGCGCAGTGGCGCAGCAATCCGAACAGGGAGGCAGACCGTAACTGGCTCGATACTACGGAACTTATAGATCAAGTTAGCGTAACGGAGATGGTAGTTTCCCTACATAAGGGGACCCCAATATAGACCCCAAAATACTATAATCCTTATTATGGGGACCCCAAAAAGGTACCCCTAATTTTAGGAAACCTCCAGATATGTATGGCAAAAACCTGGCTTCCTCATGATGGAGGCTTGATTTCAGTTTCCTTTGTGCAGCAAGCCAAGGTAATAATAGCAGGCCGTTGGGCACCCTGGCATGTGCCCTGGCCCACTACAAGGCGGGAATGGTACCAAGATGGCCTTAAATAGGGAATATATAACCCCAATATAACCCTAATATAACCCCAATATAACCCCAATATAACCCTAATAAAACCCCAATATAACCCCAATATAACCCTAATAAAACCCCAATGTAACCCCAATATAACCCCAATGTAACCCCAATATAACCCCAATATAACCCCAATATAACCCCAATATAACCCCAATATAACCCCAATGTAACCCCAATGTGACCCTAATATAACCCTAAGTATATGCCCTGCGCAAGGCATGGCAAACAGCCGCAGCTTCCTTGAGTGGCCGTGAGTGGATGGTCATCCTCGAGGACTTATCGGGTTTAGGGTATAGGTTAGGTGGACCCCCCACCCAGTATAGTGACTATTACGGATAATAAGGATTATATTAGGGTCCTTTTATATTCCTATTATACCACTGTTACAGGGTGGGGGGTCCTCCTAAGGTATAGGGCTTAGGGCCTAGGGTTTAAGGCTTAGGGTGTAGGGTTTAGGCTGGTTTGGGGCTTAGGGTTTAGTTGGAGTACTGGGAGGAAGGGTTCTGGCACGATGGAAGCCTTAGTGTTAGTACGTCGGGCAGAGGCTGAGCCTCGAGTCCTGGATGCGAAACACTTATCTGTGTAGGCCTTTGGGTTCCTCAAATATGTCCCTTATTGGTTTTATAGGGACCCATCTATACTAACATTTTTCGGGCTCTAAAGGCTAACCAAGTTATAATGGAAGATGGTTTTAGGGCCCAAATACTCTAATATTAATGGTATTTGGGCCCTGAAACTCTATTATTTGGCAGATTCAACTCACACAGCAGATGGTTATGTGGCTTCGGTGATTAGTGTTTCGGACCTCGAGCGTAGGGTTTAGGGCTTAGGAACACATTTTTTGATGTCCGCAGGGTGATAAACCCTAAACCTTGGGTACTGCCCCCCTCAGTCACAAATGGGATAATAATTATAATATGGGCATATATAGCCTGTAATAGGACCCCTAATATAGACTGTTACTGGGGGGGGGGGGCAGTACCCAACCTAAACCCTAAACCTGCGAACAGGATGATGCCCGGCCAGAAACGAGTTCCGACGAGCTGCTCCGGGACCTTTCATGGCTTCCCGGCCTCGGAATTGGGGGCCTTGTCAAAGGTAGGGTTCAGGGTTGAGGAGATTAGGCGTTTAGGGGTTTAGGGTTTAAAAGGGTTTACGGTTTAGAAGTCTTCAGGACTTTAGAGTGTGGGCTTCTGAGTTTGGTTTGCAGCTTAGGAATCCTTTCTTGTGGCCCCTCGTCGTGGGGAAAACTCCGAAGTGGATATTCCAGTCCTCCTTCTGTTGGCGTCAATTTCCTCAAAAAAGGATGATTCCAAGAAATCCAACCTACTGTTTTTGTGACATGGTTGAATTCCAGGCCCTAAACTCCAAACCCCAGAGTACTTGTTGGAACTCCTGCGCAAGAGCGTCTTCCAGGCTAGATCAGCAAGTCGGAAAAAGAAGCCGTAAACAAATACCCAAACCCTAGACGAATTGCAGACTCTAAGCCTAGCCCGTAAACCCTGAACCCCAGAGCCTTCAGGATTGCTCCGGATGTCGACCTAGTCTTCCTCGGCGAACGGCATTGCCCTTTTCTGTACGGCTCCGCAGCTTATGCCATAACAGCCAAGGCGGCCCAAGCTCTGCTCAACATGCCGCTCCTTGGGTTTTGTAGTGTGCGCGGTTTTGGGTTTGAGGTTCAGTGTTGAAGGTTTGAGGGTTAAGGTTTTGGATTCCGCACAGAGCTCTCCTGATACCCGTACCCCAGCAAAGACAAGGTTCATGTACAACGCTGACTTCTACTTGGACTTGCCAGTGAACCGTAGCCTCATCAAGCGTAAATGCTTGCCCCCCCACTTCCACCATCGGCCCACAGAGGCCACTAACACGAGCATGACCAAGCTGCTGAGGCTTTCCAAGTCCTAGTAGTTAGACAGGTCCTATGCTAGTCAGGACTGTAGTCATAGCAGTCTACTGAGTTGTTTTACCACAACCCATATGCACGATATTTTGATATAAGCTAGTTGTGGTTGAAGGAGAGAACCCTGGGCACACATGGGGATTTCCCAAAGCAGTATAACTCGCATCCTTAACAAGCTCCTGCCAGAAGATGCGTCCGGATATGGCCCCTTTTGGGAAAGCATTTGGAGCAGAGTCCACTGCACGTGCTCTGCGAAAACTCCTTTGTAGACCCCAGGTAAGCCCGTAGAAGCCACCGTGCGCACATGCCTCAAGTTCATAAGCTCATGATCAAGCTTTGGCTCAGTTTTATGTGTGCGTAACAAGTTGGCTAAACCGCAGAATCCGCACATCCAACACCCTAAAGCCCTTTGTCATGCGCGAGCCCAATATCTGTGCCGGCTTCGCTGCTGAGAGAAAAGTCAATGAGCTAGCACTGCATTAGAGATGATGCTGGGGAAACTGTGTTACAATGAGGTTTCCGGCAGTCCTAAAGTGCCCCAAATTTTCCAAAGAGTTGCAGAACGATGTGGTTCTTTGTTTCGGCTTTTGGTGTAGCAGTGTTGGTAAGGGCTCTTGCGGGTGTTCTCCTTAGCTGGACTGTCAGGTCACTTTAAGTGCAAACCCCGGAGGTGCGCTGCTAAGCTGCGAGCAGCACAAGGTGTAGCTAAGCAGGAGACTGGTAACCCCTAAATCCTGAACCCTCAAATAAATCAAAACCCTAAACCTAAACCCTGAACGCTAAACCAAGACCCTAAACCACCCTCAAACGTTCCTTCATTCCCTACAGGCCACCAGTAAGCAGCATCATCTTCCTTGGCCAGCAAGAGCTCCTGTGTATCCCCATGATTTAGGGTTTCAGGGTTCGGGTTACCCATATCAGAGCAACTCACCCTACAGTTGCATGTTCTGTGCCGGCTCCATAACATCATGCGAAAGGCCAGGAGCCTGGAACTGGAATCTATACCTCATGCTACAGCAACGCTGTCCTAAGACCTACCTCATATTGAGGGCCCCACAGCTTAACTCTACGCTCAAATTGCCTGCGCTAGTAGCCCTAGATCCGAGTCCAAAGGCTCTCTCTGGGTTTTCTGCCGGAACCTAAACCCTAAACCCAAACCCTAAAGGTAAGTTGAGGACACAGCATGCGAGGGCATGAACTGGACGATTCATTCTGGCAAAGCAAAACATGTCTGTTTGCTTGCGATTGAAGCCAAGAAGCACCGCAAAATCCATTTTTGCTCACTGCGGGTCAGATGCAATGACTGATAATCACCCCACAGTGGCCGTATGCCTATATATTCCCCCTTAAGTAGATAGAATATATGGGGTATATGGGGATCTTATTATAATATACAAAAGCCATATTCTATCTACTTTGGGGGGACTATATCATATCTTCCCTTAAACCCCATATTACCCCGAGCCCTTACATTTTCCTATTTACTTCAATGAGTCGACATATTGATTGCCATGGTGGAAACCATCCACGAAGACAACCTCAATGCTGAAGAGGCTTTTGAATTGATGGTCACCATGATCCACAAAGGGATTATAGCTCCATTCCAGGGGTTTTATAACAGAAGTACATAGGGTTCAGGGGTAACAGGTCCATATTGGGGTGTTATACTTTCATACAGGGTCATGTTGAGATAGTTGCAGGGTCGAGGTACATATTTTAGGCTCAGACATGGGCATTTCTGAAACTTGGGTCCGTTCATTATGACACAGTCTGACCCAGATGATAGGGGTTCCCAACCAGAAACCCGAACCCGACAACTCCCCATACAGCCCCTATAGCTTGAGGCTTAGATCCCCTACAAGCCCCACTGGCCAATATGGCCTGCATTCCGGCATATAATATAGTGGTTTCCATTTTCTTTTCCCTTATCCCTATAATGATGTAGTAGTTCATAGCCCATATTCAACCCCAATATATACCCTATTATAATGTCTGTAGTAGTTTCCATGTTCTTTTCCTTTAGCCCCCCTCAGAACCCTTGAAAGCATCTCGTCGAGCCCGCGCCGTGCCTGGAAGGTGCGCATTGATGGGGTGAAGCTAGTGGCCGCACCAACGAAGGAACTCGCCTGCGTGCAGGTCTATAGCTGGGAATGAAGCAACGGCAAAGAAAGCATAAGCTCAGAAGTTCTTATTACGGGTTCGGGCTTTACAGAGATTAGGGTAGGTTGGCTTTGTCCGATGTATGGGGTAGTTTCCAAAATGCCTGGGCTCCTGGTGCCCTACAGTACATGACAAAAATGGGGGGTTTTCCCGAACTTAGAGGTACCACTTAGGCGTACACCTTATAGCAAGGATTATAGCATCATGGCGTCTACGGTGGGGTCCCCCGTATTTATAGACACTATCATATCGGGCCATCTTTTGGGCATACCTGTTGTTCAAAACTGCCAAGTAGCCTGAACATTCCTTGTCGCCTTGCTAAACCTTAAACCCTAAGATCTACACCCTATAAACCCTATAGACCCTAGAAACCCTAAACCCCAGAAACCCTAAACCCTAGAAACCCTATAAACCCCTAAGACCCCTAAGCCCTAAACTGCATTCAGTGTGGGCCCTGGCAAGGTCGAGCTTACTGCCGAAGAGGGGGATGGTTTGGATTGCATCCGCACAGCCTGCAGCTTACTGGGGTTTAGGGGTTTAGGGCTTAGGGTTGAGAATATTGGGCTTTATAGGGTTATATAGGGGTTATATGGGGTTATATAGGGTATATATTGGGGTTATAGTCCTCCTCAAGTAGATTGAATCTGGGGGTTATATGGGGATAATGGAAAAGAAAATGGAAACTACTCTTTAGGGTTTAGGGTTTAGGGTTTATAGTCCCCCTGAAGTTTAGGGGTTTAGGGCTTGGGGCTTAGAACCATTTCCGAGGGGTTCAAGTATACAAATACCACCTACATTGGTTGAGGGTTTAGGGGTTCAAATGGAAAAGAGAATGGATAATGAAATAGAAGCTGGGGTTAGGTAGGGATCCAAGTATACAAATAATACCACCTATATTGGGCCTCGAAGTCTGTAAACATTACCTACATTGGGCTATTTGGATCTCAACAGATTGGGTGCAAATCCTGAGTCCCCCTTAGCTACTTCGTAAAGTTTCTGGTCCCAAGGGAAACGACCAGCAATAGGGAACCCGAATCCCCAAAAAAACAAAACCTGATTTTCAGAACCCTAAACCCTAAACCCCTAAACCCTAAACACGAAACCCTAAACCCAAAAAAAACAAAACCTGATCTTCAGAAATCCTAAGGAGCTCCAGGAGTTGTGGTCTGCACCAGAAGGCTCCTGGATGGACCATATGAGGGTTATATAGGGGATTATATAGGGGGATTATTATAGAGGTTGTTATTATATAGGGGGATTATTATAGAGGTTATTGGCGGGGGATACTAGAGGTTTAGACTATAGCTCAGATTTTGTTGTTCATGGTTTTAGCGTCTCAATGCTGATTAAGGCCGCCCATAAGCATGTATGGTGATTTCCATACATGGGAGAACCCCTATCTAGACCCCGAAATATTTCAGTCCTTGTAATAGGTGCGCCCCGAAAGGATCCGCAATTTCCGGAATTCCCCAATTCCTGGTTCCTGTCCTTTCTGACATGGGCCCAGGCTCAGTTGAATGGGTGGCGGCAAAAGCTCGCCTCGACACAGCTGTGCAGGCTACCACCACGACAGGCCTCGTTTAGGGTTTTTGTCCTAACGGGCTCGCATCCAGGGACAGATTTTGGGGTGCAGGAGACTCCAACAGGCGTGCAAGACAGGCTTCTGCTTTACTGCACTTCGGAAAACGCTGGCCAGCGTGGCATATCAGGACCATGTCTGAAGATGCTTCGCTTCTTTGTCCAGCACAGTTCTGCTAGCACTCGCTGCTTGTTTTTGACGAAACGATGCGTCATCTGTTCGTCGCACGTTTTAGCACTTCGCGGGCTGCATGTTTTACTCTGTGTTGCGAAATGCTAGCCAGCATGGCACATTTTCACCATTCCGTTCTTGCAAGCAGTGGTGCCTGCGCATGTTTTTCTCGTGTTGCGAAACCGGTCTTTCTGGCCTGTCGGTAGCGTGCTGGTTCTTGTTTGCGCTGAGCCTGGACTGAGAGGTGCTCATTTTACTTCCTGCGTTCACTTTGTAATTACTGGAGGGTGGTAGAGGGGGGTGAAACATCACGTTCGTCAAATTTAGCTTCTCGTATGGAGTCCCTGTCTTGAGCAAGGTATCCTCAAGAAAAGAAACATCTTCAGACATGGTCCTGATATGCCATGCTGGCCAGCGTTTTCAGACGTGCCGGCCTACAGAAAACCTATCATTTTGCTCTGGTGAGGAATCACCGAAACATACGAGAGGTCAACGACACCATCTTGTGATCTGAAAAGACGCCTGCTCAAAAAAAGTGATCTCAATCATACCTACAAGGGACCATTGTATGGCACGCATCATGAGAAACAAGCCCTGGTAACCCAACAAAAGACCCTGCGAAACCTGAATCGCATTTTTGTGCCAAAAGCACGATTCCTTGTAAAAACCAATACGAAAGCCTCCCTGCAAATGAACCCGCCGGGAGGGTTTTGGGTTGGGTATAGGGTTTAGAGTTTAGGGTTTAGGGACTTGACAGGTGGTAGTTTGCAAAGATAAGGGGACCACAATACAGACCCCCCAAAACTATAGTCGAACTTCACTGGAACCCCCAGATGGTACCCCTTATTTGGGAATCCTTAAAGTGGAGTTTAAGATGATCTCCGATGTTCTGGTACTCCTTTCATCATCCGTGTGTATCCCCAGGGTCCCCGTAAGGGTACCCCGATTCTGAATCAGTCCCAACTGATGGTCCCGTTGGTTCGGTCCCTACGACGTCGGTCAGAATCATAGATACGATGTCACTAGTAAGCCGCTTTTCGATGTCACTAGTAGGCCTCTTTGGGAGGCTTACCAATGAGGGGGCTACGTTCCAAGACCCTCGAGGTATCTTGAAATTATGGGGATATTTGAGCTATAGTCTAGATTCCTTAAAAGGGGCTTATAGAGGGGACTGTATATGGGGAGTATTACAGGGGTTATTAAGGGGGATGGAGGGAATGTATACTATGAGGGTAGGTGGAGGGTCTAGGGAATCACCCTCTTCAAGACCCGTCCTTTGGCGAGGTAGCCTTCGGGTTTAGGGTTTAGTTTAGGGGTTTAGGGTTTAGCCCCCCGAGCAATCCCTAGGCCCAAAACCCTAGCAGCCCTAAACCCCAAATTCCTAGCACACAAACCCTAGTCTAGAAAACAGGGCAACACGAGGGCTTCAAGTCTATAAAGAATAACCCACCTCCGGTGGACGGTGGATACTAACAATCCTTTATGACCAAAAGGGCCTTCTGCCTTGGCAGTTATACATCTCTAGTGCATTAAGGTCATGGAGGATCATGGAGGATTTGTAGTATCAAGAGTATTTTGAGCTAGGATTTCTGCCTGGATCCGCAAGGCATGTAGACTCCTGGCCTTTGGTTCCGTAAGTTGCGGTTTAGGGCTTCGGGTTTAGGGCCTAGGGTTTTAAAAGGGTTTAGGGTTTTAGGGTTTGTGTTGAAGGTAATTGGGTGTAGGGTTTAGAGCTAAGAGTTTCAGGGTTTAGGGTTTGGAGTTTAGGGTTTTAGAGTTGAGGGTCTAGAGTACTTCACCCTGCGCAGGTTGTGCGCAAGCGGCGCAGCTGGAAGCGAGAGCCAGAGAAGCCGAGGAAGTGGATTTTCAGACATCTCGTAAGTCAGTAGCAAGAGAAAATATTAGAAATTTGAATAGTTTGTAGCTGTAATAGTAAGATGTGATGGTGATGGTAGGATGTACGGATTTATGGCTACAGTTTTTCAGCAATTTCGGATTCTGGGTTTATGACCGGATGTAGGGTTTGGGCTTGGGGGGATGCAGAGTTCCCCCACTTCTGCTGTTGTAATGTTTAGAGTTTAAGGTTTAAAAGCACAAAAAAGGACTGATTGTCCTTGCTGCCTTGGTTCTGTCTACGTTGGGTATTCCCCTCTGATCAACAGTGGGATACGTTTAAATCATGAATCTAAGCCTGTTCAATCCTCAAGCCCCGAACCCGAACCCAAAACCGGAAATGTCTAAACCTGTTCAATTCTAAACCCTACCCCCAAAGCCTAAACCCCGGATGGAATGCTGATGTCCCCGGATGGAATTAGTTTCCGGATTGAGACCATCGACATGGCGACATGCAGACGTAAAACACTCTTCTATAGTGCTAAAAAAACCCAAATGTCTGAACCTGTTCCCTCTAAACCCCAAACCCTAAACCCTAAAACACCCAAATGTCTGAATCTAATGTTACTATATTGAGGAAGACATACATATGTATATATATATAAATACCCATTAACCCCCCAATGTCTACATGTCCAGGCAGAAGCAGCAGCTCCAGAAGGCGAAGAGCTCACTGGCGCTGCGGCGCGCAAGGCCTCCCCCGCTTCAACCTCTCCCGCACACGCCCCTTCATATTAGCTGTTCCCCTGGGGTTGTCATGAGGGGAAGGGATTCTTAGGCGATTGAAAGTGTATACTGGTTGTAGATTTGGAGATGAAATCCCTATCAGCCAGGACCCTCCTTGTACCCTTGAAACGGGGTGCATGTTGCTTAGGGTCTATTGAGGGTAGATGGCGGGTTGAGAAGCCACCCCCATGGCTGCTCAGACAGCTTCAGCCCAAAATCTAACCCCGAGCCCCAAAGCATGAACCCTCCACGGCCCATCTCTAAATCCTAAATCCATTATCCTACCTGTAACTCCAACGACCTATACAGTTTAGTAGTAATTACCACCTCATTAGTAGGTATTACCCATAACACTGTAGGTAATTGGGGTTTCAGGTAATCCCTGACAGGCCAGAAAACTGAGACAGGAAGCCGAGAGGCTGCGAGCGGAAGCCAATGCTGAGACTGGGTTGCTGTTATGAAACTTAATTCAAATTATTATATTGGGGAAACCATATTAATTACGATAAATGAAGAATGAATATATATATATATATACTCACTATGGTAACTTTATTTAAGTTCTCCAACAGCAACCCAGGAGAGGGAGCGCATGGCACGCTTCGGCCAAGCAGTTCGCCGGGCAATGCGGAAGGCTGTTTTTCAGAGTTCAGGGTCTAGGTCGCTTTTGGGCGTTCAGGCTTTGGAGTTCAGGTGCTGAGGGTTTAGAGTTGACATGTGTTGGGTTTAGAGTTTAGGTGCTTAGGGACTGTAGCCGTTCGCAGATATATGTGGCGCATGAGAAAATGCCAGACCATTTTTTTTGAGGTGAATTTTTTCCAGATTCCACTGATGTCTACGAGCCGTCCATCCTGCTTAGCGCGTCCTCCCTTCCTAGCATTCTCTGAAAGGCCGACGACGCTGCAAGTGTTACCGTGGAATTAGAAGACGACGAGGAAGTCAATGGAAAAGCCATGGCAAAGGATCAGAAGGCTTCACTATCAGTACTGCTTTGTTGTCACTATGTACCAGGACCCTCCTGGTACCATTGAAACGGGGGTAGATGGTCCCTTGCTAGGGTCAAAAGAGGGTAGATGGAGGGTTTAGGTACAGTATTTGTTCTGAGCATCAGCCGCGGCATAAGGATTATGATAGCGCTAGGGCCCAGCAACATCATTCTGCATTAGTCGTGTCACCATTGAGTAGCAGCGTTGCCGTTCTTGTGCTGCGATTTGGTTGTGTTGTGAGCATAAAGATATGCACGTCTCAGGTCAAGAAGAATAGCAAGAAACGATCCAAGAAGAAGGCAACATCCACATCGTCATCCTCCAGCAAAATCAAAAAGCGGAAGAGAGAGGTGGAGTCTGGTCTGTAAGGGGATCTAACGGTGGGATGATTCTGGGTTGGGCTACTAAGATCCCCTTTGTGAATAAGGCTTTCCCCATCCACGTTCATCCTTTCATCACACCTTCTGGGTCCAGGCAAAATAATTGCCGTTCAGGCAGTAAAGGGTGCTTGGCCGTGTTAACTTGCCAAAAAGGACATTTTTCCCACGGAGTTCTGTGACTTCTTGTTAAACTATCTTGTGAGACTATCTTGTTAGAGCAGTCCTGATACTAGCTGAAGCTGCCCGGAACTCATCCCAATCTTCATAGTGCTTTGCAATCATTCCTATCTTCTTTTCATTATGTCCAGAGATAGGTATCCATGCTGTAGATACTTAGGCTGGAAAGTCCCTATAAAGGGACACCTGGTATGTTTCTGGTATCTGGGCTCTATGGGTTCCGCGCAGGAGAAAATCCGTGAGGCAGTTCGGAAGAAGGCTGAAGAAGCCGCACGTCGCTGGCAAGAACGTGACGACCAGGCTTGGCTGTGCAGTCTTTAGAAATATTTATAAGGTTTATAGGGTTTACTTGCACCTGGCCAGCAATCCTTGAGGGAATGGAAGAGAAAACGGGAAGTACTATATTATTGGAGATTATGTAGGGACTACAACAAGGGTCCGTTCCTCTGTTCCTTGCTAACCAGAGGTAAGTTTAGAGTCTATACGGTTTAGACTTCACGGGGCCTGGCCTGCCTCAGGTAGGTAATTGCTATCGTCAAACTACCTGTTTTCGAAAGTGTTGTAATTATGTTGGGTGCGAGTTGAATAGTGCTACTGGTAGAAACTCAAATGATCGTTGAGATCATGGCTTCATTGTTCTCACAATTACCTGTACCTACTGTATCTTACTAGAAAGGCTAGCATTCGTGACATAATCTTTCACAACTTGCTTCCGCCAGTTGGAAGCCAGCATCCGCGTCGTGGAGCAAAGAGGACCAAGTGTTATGGTTGTGAATGTGCTTGATCACTTTCATCCTCAACATGACCAATTGTTTTTTCAAAAGCCCTTCTTCTGGCAAGTTTGTCGCTCGCCGTCCTTCTTTGCCACTCTCCCACCCCTCCACTCCCCCTATGACAACCAAAATCATCGCCACCGCGGCCGCCGCCACATCCTCTAGCCGGGCTGCTAGGAGCAAAAGCAGCAGCAGAGAGAGAAGCCCAGCGGCGCGCAGAAAAGGACTGGGAAGACCTTTGCCGCCTTCCGTTGCTTGCTGCAGTCATGTGAGTCGGAAGTGTGTTTGTGGCGGGGCGAGGAACGACAGCTGAGAGCTGCAGCAGCTTATCTGAAGTGAATAGGGCCAGTTCCCAGGCTGTAGACATCGTCGATTTCGAGGTCATTGTGCAAGCTTTTTAGAGGTGTAGCTCTGACGTGTAGAGGTTTTGACAAGCAGCCAAGCAGCTGCAGCCAAGGAGCGCATGCGGCGAGAAGGCAGATCTCGTTCAAGGCGGAGACGCCGCAGAAGGTCCTTGTCCTGAGCCATCCCTGCTTGGTGACCTGATCGATCCCACATTAAACTCGACCCAGCTTCGATGCCCCAGATGCCCAAGCTGAACTTCTGCTCACACACAGCATGAGTTGCAGAAGGACCTAGCAGAGCAGACCAGCAAGGTAGGCTTGGTGATGACCACAATATGTCGCCGACATCCCGGACCTGGCCCGTCCGCCATCCAGAAAGTCCCGCACCGTCAGCAAAGGCGGATTCTCAGCTGTCAGCGATGTCTTGGCCCTTTGGATCTTTGAAGCTTCATGGCTGCAGGGTTCCCGTGCACAAAGCTGCGAAGGTGGCGGTGGTGGTGGAAAAAAGGAATTTGCTCTTTGTCAGGCAGGAGTCCGTGCGTGCAAGTTGTGCATTCTTGGGCCTCGCTAGGTCTCAAGGGAAGGGTCCAATCCACCGCATTTGTTGCGCCCCTCCTGCAAGAGATGGCCACGTGTGTGTTTGCCGAAACTACTGTGAGGTCTTTCTTTGTCCAGGGCCCTCAGCATGCAGGGTGCCGTATGAAGGGGAGTATGGCATCGGATGCGAGAATTAGCCAGAACTTGGTTCCTAGACCCTCCATCTACCCGCTTTTTGCCCTAGCTAGGGACCATACACCTGATATAAAGGGTACAAGGAGGGTTCCCAAAAAAAACAAGGTATCAGGACCCTCCTGGGGGGGGTATTTGATCCCCAGCTAGGTAAAAAGCGGGTAGATGGAGGGTTTACGTAGAAAGGGGTCTGAAGACTTCGAAGCAGTGTGGATGAGCATTTGGGGGGATTTTAGGGGGGCCCGGATTCACAAAATCTGGCCAGGCATAGGGTAGCTGATCCCAGCATGTAGCCCCAGGTTAAAATACAAGCCGTATCGCTAATTCAAAGATGTCTCAAACCCTCTAGCCCTTTCCGTTGTTCTTCAGTCATCAGATGCTCCCGCAGATTGCCAGCTGTTGCCTGCTAGGGGGCACTAGGAGGCACCTTCGAGACACGGCGCAGCACGTTGCCGCAGCTGTATCGACGCTTTGTAGGATTTTGTTTGGGCTGGCAAGCATGGCAGAGGAGGAGGCTGTCGGACCCTGAGACATTGTTTTGTGGAGGTTCCAGCATGCCCAGGATTCAGGATGATCGTGGAATGGGATGCTTCGGGTCTCAGTCCTCCCCGCCCCCTACAGCGCTATGATCTTCGGACACCTGCAGCCCACAACCCTACACGATCTACATGCTAAACAACCTTTAAGCCCCCTAAACCCTAAGCCCTAAATCCTAAACCCAAAACTTGCTAACAGCAAAGCGTGGGCTCCCAGATTTGCGAGCAAAGGCCGAGCAAGAGGACCAGGGAGGCATTCCCTTGTCACAGGCCTACTTGGACTGTCTCTCCTGGTGTCTTACTGGGGGTTGCTAGGGAATAAGGGAAAATAGGAATACTATAGAACCCCAATATCATCCCTATATAATCCCTATTTCACCCCTATACAATTATTGTTGATGGGTTATAAACGTGGCTTCATGTTGAGGGCACCTACAATGAGGACCGTGTCTTAGTTTTGTGGGTACACGCGCGGTTGATAAATTTGGATTTCCTAAAACTTGGGGTACCCTTTCAGGGGTCCCTACAATACGAATTCTCGCATTTGAACCCCCATATGAGCCATTGTCTAAACTCCTAGTATCCCCCTTAATAACCCCTATAGTAGCCCCCTATATAATCCCCCTTTAAGGAGTTTAGACTATAGCACATATGTCATGCTTCTCTCCAGCAGCTGAATATGGCCTGGAGCCCAGGCACAGAAAATCCCCAAGACCAGTAGGTAGAGGTGAAAGCCACTTAAGCTACAGTCCAAACTCTTTAAAGGGGAAGATAATATGGGAAATATGTAGGAGATGACTATAGGGGCCATTAAGGGGAATACTAGGAGTTTAGACTCCGACTCTCTTGTTTTTTAATGATGTGCGTCCCGCCCTACCCAGACCCCTGGGAGGATCTAGAAAGTAGAACCCCCATTAGGGTNNTACTTTCTAGATCCTCCCAGGGGTCGGGGTAGGAGAAAGAAAACTTAGGTGAAACAGCAGCTCGAGCAGGAGGTCCGAAGTTTGGCCAGAGCCCCAGGAAGACTGACAAGCTCCCAGGACCCTCCTTGTACCCTTAGTTGGGGATATATGGTCCCTAATAGTAGGTACTTAGGCCCTAATAGAGGGTAGGAGGAGGGTCTAGGTCCTTGAATTTAGATTCTAAACCTCAACCCATTATTTGTAGTACTAAGATTAGTATGATTCTTATTCTTGTTATTAATTACCATGAATATTATTACAGTATCTATTATATTTATGTAAGCTACTGGCTGCAGATGCAAGTGGCCTCTCTTTTCACCTGTCACATGCAGCCCCAAAGCAAAAAGTGCTTGGGCAAAGCGCCCCTGTTTTTGGACCCATCACCCGACGCAACTCGATGCAGTGTCTTCCCCATTATCCCTATATAATCCCAATATACTATACTAGTTTCCATGTTCTTTTCCATTATCCTTATCTAACCCCAATATTACCCCGTTGCTTCTACCGAGTTGAACAATCAAGCAGCCCTACGAGAGGCTGAGGCTGGGAAATAGTAGCAACGTCCCGCACTAGATTGTTCTGTTTAAAGCTGATACGTATGTCATACCCAGTATCGTAAGACATGCTCCATCCCCAGCATGATTGGTACTACCATGATGGACCCTCAAGGCCGCGTTTTGACGTGGCAATGCACTTCATGGGCCCAGCTCCACTCAAAGCCCCGAGCCCCACTCGGGCCCCCTTTCCTGTGGAGGCACGCTTTCAGGCGTCTATGGAGAGCTTAAAATCACTTTGTCCAGAGAATCATGGGAAGGCGATGCTTGTGTGGGACTCAGCTCTGAGCTTTTTGGATTTTGGAATGATATAGAGGAATCTGGGCGTGCTTCGTGGGGAGAGCTCTCAAATACGAACTCCCTTTACCTTGCGCGTGCCTTTTGGATCCCTTGATTGCGAAAAAGTCGCCATTTGGGGACTTGGTATCGCTTGAGGGATTCCGCCTGTGTGATCTGGAGTTATTCCTTGTTTGGCTTTCCTGAACTTGCAGTGCAGCAGGGATTCCTGCAAGATGCTCGTATGTTGGATATCATATGACTGCTCCCACTAAGATTCCGCTGACATCGTCCCTCTACATCGACGGACACATGACAGAAACGCTGCACACTCAGACTTCGTCTTCTTGCTGCGAAACAAGCGCTTGGGCTTCCAGAAATGGAGGGCCCCAATACATCCAAAGAGGACCCCCAATTTATTTGGAAACACCTTTATAGGGATCACCTGCAGGCTGACACAGAAGGGAAGCCTGACGCCATCTTAACCCCCAGGAAGAAAGTCACCGTGGACGTTGGCACCGGCTATTTCATCGAGATGTCCGTGGAGAGAGCTCACAAGTTCTGTAACAGGTGCGGGCGCTGCAGTTGACCTACTAGCGCGACGTTTTGTAGTTTTTTTTGTAATAATAGCAATACCTGTCATAATAGCAATAGAATAGTCATAATGGTAGTAATAGTCATGATAGTATTAATGGTACCAATAATAGTAAGGGTTTCTCAAAAAGAGGGTATCCTAAGAATATGATACTTGGGGATTACAACAGGGGTTGAGGGGTGCCCTCTTGGGGATCAGTGAGACTCCCAGGCACGTATGTGCCAAAAAGTAGGGCTCTGAACATGAAAAAACACCTCCAAACGCTAGCACCCCTACTTTGAGAGGATTTGGAGTCCCTAAACCCTAAACCCTAAACCCTAAACCGTGTAATGTAACCTACTGAGACCTCTGGAATGCGTAATCGAGGCCGATTCGCCATACCTTGCATGCTCTCCGTATGACTTGCAGGAGATGCAAGCTGTTGGCCGACAATGCCACAAAAGTTGAAGGGGCGCGATGCTTAGCAATGTCGGGGTTTTTTAAGTTCTGTAAGTAGCATTGGCAAAGAATTTGGAACTTCCAAACTTAAAGAGTAGTAGCTTCATTGTCTTTGCCACACGGAAGAAAGCATTTACATCTCTGCACATGGCCCATCAACTTTTGCAACAGGTACTGAAAGACAAAAGGAAAAATCTGGAGACCCTGCAGATGACCATGCAGCAAAAGCTGTGCCCATGCTGCAACTTATGCCAGCTCAACTTGGTGGTTTGTGCTATTGCCAAGCGTCAAGCATCCTAGTGAGGTACCTGATGCAACAGCAGCAGGAAGCAGCCAAAGAAAAAGAAGGCTGATCTCTAGGAAGCAATGGACTTCCGATGCAGGCCGCAAACCTCTGGTGATGGAGGTTTCTGCCACTGTGTGGCAAGTGTGCATAGCACTATCTGGGTGCAGCTGCCAAGGCTTAGCACGTGGCTGCCAAACCGTAGGCAGCTGCATGACTCACCAGCTCATCCGGCAGCTGGATGATTGCCGCAATGCACGGGAAAGGTCTGCAGACTCAAGGGCAAACTTGAGGGGAACAGCTGTCTGTATGGATTGCCCGTGCTGACTTGGTAATTGTGCCTTTTGCGCCCATCGTGACATGTCTTGGTTCCTCAGACTAGGAGGCTGTGCGATGTCAAAATACACAGTGTACTGTGTCTTGACTTCGTAGTTGTGAAAACACGATTCCCGT